AAGACCAGCCTGGTCACCTTTAGAGATGGGCAAAACCCCATCTCTACTAAAAATACAAAAATTAGCTGGACATGGCAGTGCATGCCTGTAATCCCAGCTACTTGAGAGGGTGAGGCAAGAGAATCGCTTGAACCCAGGAAGGCAGAGGTTGCAGTGAGCCAAGATCACGCCACTGCACTCCAGCCTGAGGGACAGAGTGAGACTTCATAACAAAAATAAAATAATATAAAAATACAAAAAATTAGCTGGGCATGGTGGCAGGTTCCTGTAATCCCAGCTACTCAGAAGGCTGAGACAGGAGAATCACTTGAACCCAGGAGAGAGAGGTTGTGGTGAGCCAAGATTGTACTGTTGCACTCCAGCCTGGATGACAGAGCGAAACTCCACCTCAAAATAAATAAATAAATAAAGTGCCAAAAAGCGGGTGGTTGCCTAGCACCAGGGATGGGGGTTATGGAATAGTTTGGGGTGGCGGAAATGATCTCTATCTTGATTGCGGGGTGGTTACAAGGGTGTATACATTTGTCAAAACTGAGAGAAAGGTTCACTTAAACTGGGTGCCTTGTACTGTATATAAACTGCACCTGAATAACATTGATTTTTTTTTTAACAGATAATGGGACAAAATGGCAGGAAATTACTGCTTCTGAAAGCAGAATGAGTTCAGGAATAATTTCCTCTATGACAAGACCAGCACACCTTCATCTAGATAAGGCCGATGACAGCTCTTGCAAACAAAATGATGATGTGCAAATTGTGAATAATGGCGGTCCTCCACTACTGTAAATGGTTTCACAGGTCACATGCACATTAAACTAACTGTAGCCAGAAAATGAAATGAAGCAGCACGGTGATGACTCACAGGGGAGTGTGAGTTCCAGCCTCGGCTCTCTGGCAGGCTCTGGGGTGAGTGCATGTTTCACGCCTTTGGCCATAACTGCATGGAATTACAGCCAGCACGGATGATGCGGATTTTCATAGATAGAACTTTCATGCTTCTTCCCAGGAAAACAGCAAAACATCACTCGTTGACAATGGTTTAGTCTGCAGGTAGACATCTTGCCCTTTTTAATTCCTTGTGCTGTTTAACATTAAGACAAAAAAAAAAAAAAAAAAAAAAACAGGCCAGGTGCTGTAGCTCAAGTCTATAGTCTCAACACTTTAGAAGGCCGAGGTAGGAGGATTGCTCGAGGCCAAGAGTTTGAGACCATCCTGAGCAACAGAGCAAGAGCCCATCTATACAAACAAATTAAAAAATTATCCAGGTGTGGTGGCACACACCTGTAGTCTCAGCTACTCAGCAGGCTGGGGTGGGAGGATCACTTGAGCCTGGGAGGTCAAGGCTGCAGTGAACTATGATCGCGATTGCATCACTGCACTCTAGCTTGGGTGACAGAGTGAGACCCCAACTTTAAAACAAACAAACAAAATAAAACAAAAACCAGGGCCAGGCACGGTGGCTCACTCCTCTAATTCCAGCACTTTGGGAGGCCAAGACGGGCAGATCACCTGAGGTCAGGAGTTTGAGACTGGCCTGGCCAACATGGTGAAACCCTGTCTCTACTAAAAATACAAAAAATAGGTGGATGTAAGGTGGGTGCCTGTAATGCCAGCTACTCGGGAGACTGAGGCACGAGAATCACTTGAACTTGGGAAGCCGAGGTTGCAGTGAGCCAAGATCATGCCATTGTACTCCAGCCTGGGTTACAGGAGCGATTCCATTTCAAACAAACAAAAAAAAACCTTCAAAAATAACCAGATTGATTCCAGCAACCTAGAAGGAGGGTGTAGCTTCCTCTCGCCTTCACTGGGAGATACGCGGAGATAGAATAATTATCTTTATGACTCTGAAAATGCTTAAGACACCAACAACATGTAAACAACTCCTATGAGAGCTTTTCCATTCATACAAGATCCCATTTCATCCTTGCAAGAACACTGAGCAATAGATAGTATCTTAAAATTCCCATTTTATAACTAAAAAATTCACAGCCAGCTGTGGCAATTCCAAGGCAGGATGGAAGGACCGCTTGAAGCCAGGAGTTTGAGACCAGCCTGGGCAATAGAGCAAGACTCTGTTTCTTTCTGGTTTTTTTTTTTGAGACAGAGTCTATCTGTCACAAGGCTGGAGTGCAGTGGTGGCGCGATCTCAGCTCACCGCAAACTCCACCTCCCCGGTTCAAGCGATTCTCCTGCCCCAGCGTCCAGAGCAGCTGGGACTATAGGTACATGCTGCCACCATGCCCAGCTAATTTTTGTATTCTTAGTAGAGACAGGGGTTTCACCATGTTGGCCAGGATGATCTCGATCTCTTGACCTTGTGATTCTCCCACCTCAGCCTCCCAAAGCGCTGGGATTACCGGTGTGAGCTACTGTTTATATTAATTTTTTTTTCATATGTAGTCTTGCTCTATTACCCTGGCTGGAGTGCAGTGGCGTAATCTTGGCTCACTGCAACCTCCACCTCCTGGGTTAAAGTGATTCTCCTGCCTCAGTCTCCAGAGTATCTGAGACTACAAGCGTGCGTCAACACACCCGGCTATCTTTTAATATTTTTAAAATTAAACTTCAAAAATAAAGGCCAGGCATGGTGGCTCACACCTGTAATCCCAGCACTTTGGGCTGAGGCAGGCGAGTCGCCTGAGGTCAGGAGTTTGAGACCAGCCTGGCCAACATGGTGAAACCCCATGTCTACAAAAAATATTTTACAAATTAGCTGGGTGTGGTGGTGGGTGTCTGTAATCCCAGCTACTCCGGAGGCTGAGCCAGGAGAATCTCTTGAACCTGGGAAGTAGAGGTTGCAGTGAGTTAAGGCCGTGCCACTGCACTCCAGCCTGGGTGACAGAAGGAGACCCCGTCTCAAAAATAAATACATATATACATACATACATACATAAAGTCTCTCTTCTCATTGCCGTTATGTCTGAGTCAGAGTCTCCAAAGAGCCTGAACAAATAAAAAATTCTAGACTCAGAGTGGTTACTCAACCATACCTGCCTTGGATGTGACACCAAGGTTCTTTCTGGAAAGAAGCTTGCACTCCTGCTAAGATCACCAAGCTCTCCTTCCAATACTGCCTTCTTCCAATATCTCAAAGGGCTTATGAGGACTATCCTAAGAAAGAGGCTGGAACTGACAGCGATTATCCACCTCCCCTAAGAGGACCAGCATGGAGGATAAGCCCATCAAGGCCAATCCCCTTGTTTCACTTTTCAGGTTATTTCAGGATCTCATCCCCAGAAAAGTGTCTATCTTAAGTTCTCTCTCCTGTCCACCCTCTAATGCATCCCGTGCATTACACCCTCTAATTCAGGGCCCGACGTCTGTAAGATCCCTAGATCCTTGTCCTGTTCTGTGAGCAGCCCTTCAATTTTTCTTTTTCTTTCTTTTTTTTCCTGAGATGGAGTTTTGCTCTTGTTGCCTAAGCTGGAGTGCAATGGCACGACCTTGGCTCACTGCAACCTCTGCCTCCTGGGTGCAAGTGATTCTCCTGCCTCAGCCTCCTGAGTAGCTGGGATTACAGGAACCCACAACGGCACCCAGCTAATTTTGTATTTTTAGTAGAGAAGAGGTTTCCTCCATGTTGGTCAGACTTGTCTTCAACTCCCAACCTCGGGTGATCCACCCACCTCAGCCTCCCAAAGTACTGGGATTACAGGCATGAGCCACCATGCCCAGCCGCAGCCCTTCAATTTCTACTTCACCGAAACATGACTATTAACCTTAGGACATGACTATTACCTCAGGAACTGCTTCCCCAAGGTACTCTCAGGAGTGGCCTTTTTCTGTCCCATACAAGCCCCATAAGCCACGCTCTACGGTCTTGGAGAAGGAACCCTCACTGCTGCATCAAGACTATTGCTCCTCCCATTTCCGTTACTGTTTGGTTTTTGTTTGTTTCTTTTGAGACAGGCTGTTGTTCTGTCACCCAGGCTGGAGTGCGGTAATGTGATCACAGCTCACTGCAGTCTCAGACTCCTGGGTTCAAACAATCAATCCTCCCACCTCAGCCTCCTTAGTAGCTGGGACTACAGGTGCGCACCACCATGCCCAGCTAATTTTTTATTTTTGTAAAGATGGAGTCTCACTATGCTGTCCAGGATGGTCTCGAACTCCTGGCTTCAGGCCATCCTCCCACCTCTACCTCTCAAAGTGTTGGGATTACAGGTGTTGAGCAATCGACCATGCCAGGCCAGCAATTTTTTTTGAGTCAGGGTCTTGGTATGTTGCCAAGGCTTGTCTTGAACTTCTGGCCTCAAGAGATCCTCCTGCCTTGGTCTCCCAAAGTGCTGGGATTATGGACACGAGCTATGCCCAGCAGAAGCATTATTTTAGTCAGTTATTCACTTGCTCACTAAAACTTAAACTTCCTGAGACCAGGAACACATTTTACTCCTTTTTTTAGACAGAATATCGCTCTGTTGCCTAGGCTAGAGTCCAGTGGCACAATCTCAATTCACTACAACCTCTGCCTCCCAGGTTCAAGTGATTTTACTGCCTCATCCTCCTGAGTAGCTAGGATCAGCCCACCACAAAGCCCTGGCTAATTTTTTTTTTTTTTTTTTTTTTTTTTGAGACGGAGTTTTGTTCTTGTTACCCAGGCTGGAGTGCAATGGCACAATCTCGGCTCACCGCGACCTCCGCCTCCTGGGTCCAGGCAATTCTCCTACCTCAGCCTCCTGAGTAGCTGGGGTTACAGGCACGCGCCACCATGTTCAGCTAATTTTTTGTATTTTTAGTAGAGACGGGGTTTCACCATGTTGACCAGGCTAGCCTCCAATGCCTGACCTCAAGTGATCTGCCCACCTTGGCCTCCCAAATCCTGGGATTACAGGTGTGAGCCACTGTGCCAGGCCATGGAACCCACTATACTGTTAATTTCCCCAACAGTGCGTGGCCCACAGGAAATCCACAGAATGTATTTTTGGAATGAATGAATGAGTTGCAAAGGAACGAGGGTAAATAAATAGATAACGAGTCCAGAACCGCGTGCCCCATACCCTTTTCAGCTCTGGGGAGATGGCGGCTCCCTGTGGGGTCGGGGGATGGGGGGTCTCCGTTCCTTCCGTCCTCCCGCCTCGTGGAGGAGTCAAGTCTCCGCAGGCGGAGAGCCCGGATGCAAGGGCTTCTAGGCGGCCCTCTCTATGGTGAGCCCCCGAGTCCCTCCTCCCCAGCACCCGGCGTGCCTCTATGGTTCTTCCTGTCTTTAGTCGGGAGGCGGCGCTGTGCGCAGGCGCGTGGTGACGCCGCGGCAGGGCCGGAAGGAGTGCAGCGGCTGCCTCAGCTGTGGCGACGGAGCTCACAGCTGCCGCTTCTGAGGAATAAGCGCCGCGGCAGCGAAGGCCGCCGAGCCCGCCTGACTAGCCGGGGAGTTGAGTGGCGAGTGAGTGTCGGCCGCGGGCGCGTTCGGGCTCCTGGGCAGGTCTGTGAAGCGAGGCGGCCTCTCCGCGGGGCGCCTCCGTGGAGCCCCGGAGGTGGGGGCGGGGGCGCGGGCCGTGAGGGCCTCGGAGCTGAGGGGCGCTGGCCGACGCCCGGGCAGGATCAGGCCCGGGGACTGGGCGTCTCTGAGCCCCGTGCAGTGGCGAGGCGGGACCGACAAAGGCGCTGGGAGGCCGGGCGATCTCCTCCGGTCACTTCGCGAAGTTTCGCAGGCCGGCCCGTCGGGACCGCTGCGCGAGGGCGACAGCCCGGGAGTCCGCGCTTTTCTCCACACGGCCCGAGGCCGCCGCGGAGGCGGTGTCCGTGCACCCGAGCGCGGCCTGGAGGAGCGGTGGGAGGCGGCCCGTGCCTGTGAACCCCAGCCCGGGCGGGCGGCGGTTTTCCCCTTTTCCCCTCATATCTAGAGCGGGTGTTGTTCAGCGAAAGTTGGTGACCGTCACTCGGCACTGGCGAGGGCACTGCAAGTGCGTCAAACCCTTTTGCGGGGAGCTGGGGGTTGCCCGGCTCGGGTGCCCGGGCGCTGGGCAGGAAGCGAGGCTGCTGTTTCCGCGGCGTGGTGGCCCTCGTCCCGGTGGAACGGTGATCCAAGACTTCGGGCTACTTGCAACCAATCCCGGCGCGTGCGCGGCGTGCGGGTTAGAGAAATTTCTGATACGTCCGCCAGGGCTGTGAATTCCTAAGGGCCTTGGTAGCAGTTGTCCTAGGTACTTTGATCGTGCAGAGAGCGTTCTTTTTTCTCGTTTTCTTTTTCTTTTGTTACTATTTTTTCTTTTTTTGAGACAGAGTCTTGCTCTTTCTCCCGTGGTGGAGTGCAATGGCGCGATCTCGGTTCGAGATCTCTGCAACCTCTGCCTCCCGGTTCGAGCGATTCTCCTGCCTCGGCCCCGGAGTAGCTGGGACTACAGGCGCTCGCCACCACATCCGGCTAATTTGTGTATTTTTCCTAGAGATGGGGTTTAAGCACGTTGGCCGGGCGGGTCTCGAAGTCAAGTGATCTTCCGGCTTAGCCTCCCAAAATGCTGGGATTACAGGTGTGAGCCAATGCGCTGGACCAGAACTTTTTTTTTGCTTTGTTTTGTTTTTTGAGACAGAGTCTCGCTCTGTCGCCCAGGTTGGGGTGCAGTGTTGCCATCTCAGCTCACTGCAACATCTGCCTTCCGGGATCAGGTATCCTCCAACTTCAGCCTTCCTAGTAACTGGGACTAGTGGCACGCGTCACCATGCCTGGCTATTTTTTTGGGGCGGGGGGGGATTGGTGGGGAGACAGAGTCTCATTATGCTGCCCTGCTGGTGGGTTTGAGTGATCTTCAGCCTCTCAAAGTGCAAGAATTATGGGCTTGAGCCACCACGCTCTGCCAGAACATTCTTTTCCCGCTGAAAAGGGAGAGAGGACCGGGAAGATTTTCCTTTTTTTTTTTTTTTGAATCGCTTGAACCCTCACGGCAGAGGCTGTAGTGAGCAGAGATCGCACCACTGCACTGCAGCCTGGGCAATGGAGCAAGACTGTGTCTCTCCCGCCCCCCCAAAAAAGGTGAAAGAACCCAGGAATGGGAAAGAATATTTACAATACTTTTTTTTTTCTTTTCGTTTTTTTTTAGTAATATCTCATTTCTTTCTTTTTTTTTTTTTTGAGGGAAAAACAGAAAAAGAAGGGGAAAAAAAGAAAAAGAGGGAAAAAGGAATTTTTACTTCATTCCTAAAATGGGTTTCAATAATGGCCGATCAATATTTTGAGTGTTTAAAGTGGTTAATGCATATTTTATGTGTTTAAAATGGAGACCTCTATTGTGTTTATTTATTCTGGTTCTGAGTTCAAGTCCTGGATATCGTTATCAATTTGTTGTCTCGTTGAATCTAAATCTCATTATGTGTCTTATGTATCTGGGTGTTAAGATCTCTTATTGTTACATTAATCCTTTTACCCTTGCATCCTTGTAGCTTTGAAATCTATTTTATTAAGTGTGAGAATTGCAACTCCTGCTTTTTATTTATTTATTTTTGCTCTCCATTTAGTTGGTGAGTTTTTTTTCATCCCCTTGTTTTGAGTCTTTGTATATCTTTAGATATATCGTTAGATTTTGTGGATAATGTATATTTTGTGTGTTTAAAATGGAGAGCTCTATTGAGTTTATTTGTTCTGGATCTTAGTTCCAGTCCCGGATATCGTTATCAATTTTCTGTCTCGTTGAATCTAAATCTCATTATGGGTCTTATGTATCTGGGTGTTAAGATCTCTTATTATTACATTAATTCTTTTACCCTTGTATCCTTGTAGCCTTGAAATCTATTTTGTCAAATGTGAAAATTGCAACTCCTGCTTTTTATTTATTTATTTTTGCTCTCCATTTGGTTGGTATGTTTTTTTTTTTTTTCCAACCCTTTATTTTGAGTCTGTGTATATCTTTGGATATACCGTTAGATTTTGTTTGTATCTTTTGATTCGGAGATTTGGTCGATTTAAATTTAGGGTTGCTGCCATTTGATATTAACTGGCTATTTTGTCCTTTCGTTGATTAAAAATTCTTCTTTATGTTAATGCTCTTTACTTTTTGGTGTATTTTTAGAAAGGGTCATACTGGTTGTTCTTTCTGTGTATAATGCTTCTTTTAGAAGTTCTTGTAAAGCAGGCCTGGTGGTAATAAAATCTCTGAGTACTTGCTTGTTCCTAAAAGATTTTATTTTTCCTTCAAATGTAAAGCTTAAATTGGTAGGATATGAAATTCTGGGCTGAAAGTTCTGTTAATTAAGTATATTGAATATTGGCCCCCACTCTCTTCTAGCTTGTAGGGTTTCCGTTGAGAGATCTGCTGTAAGCCTAATAGGCTTACCTTTATGGGTAACTTGATCTTTCTCTCTGGCTGCCCTTAATATTTTCTCCTTCGTTTCAATCTTGGTGAATCTAACGATTATGTGCCTTGGGGTTGGTCTTCTTGAGGAATATCTTTGTGGTGTTCTCTGTATTGCCTGGGGTTGAATAGTGTTCTACTTTGCTAAATTAGGAAAATTTTCCTGGATAATGTCCTGGAGAGTATTTTCCAGCTTGACTTCATTGTCTCTGTCAAATTCAGGTACACCAATCAAGCATATATTAGGTCTTTTCACATAGTACCATATTGCTTGGAGACTTTGCTCATTCCTTTTTATCCTTTTTTCTCTATTCTTGTCTTGTCGTTTTGTTTCATTAAGTTGGTCTCCGACCTCTGATACCCTTTCTTCTGCTTGATCCATTCGGCTGTTTAAGCTTGTACATATTTCACTAAGTTCTCGTGTTGTATTTTTCAACTCCATAAGTTCATTTGTATTCCTCTCTATATTGTCTATTCTTTTCAACATTTCATCTAACCTTTTTTCCAAGTTCTTAGTTTCTTTACATTGGGTTAGAACAAGTTCCTTTAACTCCCAGAAGTTTCTTATCATCCACCTTTTAAAGCCTACTTCAGATAATGGAACACAGTCCTTTTCCATCAGGGCTTGTTCTGCTGCTGATGAGTCCTTTTCCATCAGGGCTTGTTCGGTTGCTGATGAGTCCTTTTCCAACAGGGCTTGTTCCGTTGCTGATGGGTTCTGATTTTGAGTATACTCGGCCTTCTTAGGCTGTTTTTTTCCCTTCATTGTAGATGAACCGACTTTCTAATTAGGTTTCTGAGTCGACGTCCGACTTATTGATTCCCAGTGCTGGGATCCGAGCAACCCACTGTGGCAGCCTAAATAGCAGCGATAAGAGTGATGGTGCTCTTCTGCCCGGGAATCTCTGGTCTGGCTTCCCTCTTGAGTCCGCAACAAGCGGCTCTGACTTCCCGGAGCTCCAAACTCTGGTCAGTAGGGGAAGCAGTCCCGTTGGCTCTGCGTGAAGAGCTGCTGCGCCGAGACGCCGGCAAAACTGCTGCGGCGGCCACAAGAGTCGCGCTGGCGACCGGTGGGGCTCCTCCACTGGGAATTGGCTAATCGGTGAGTGACGAAAATTAATCTAAAGATGTGGCGTCGTCTCGTTCTCTCGAAGATTTTATGAAACACCTCGATTTAGTCAGCTTGCCTTAAGGAAGAAGACTAAGAAATGGCCTGGCTTTGCCTTGGGCTTTGCGTTGCATAATTTATTGCACCTAGGATGTGGGGAGTAGTGGTGGATTTGAGGAAATGTCTGGAGAGTCTGGGCCAGATTTTGGACCCCCTGGTAAACCTCATTCGAGGCTTTAGATTTTTACCCTGATAAAAGTAGCAGGAGCTAACAGAAGAAAACCCCTGAATCCCCTATGGAGAAATTTGATAAAGAAGGGCTAGGAATGGGTGAGGCAGATTGAAAGTTAATGAATAGGATCTTTGAGAGAGCTGGTGTTTGCAAACTCTACTATGAGCTACTATTTAATGTGTTTATGAAATTCTAGGCGTTACTGTATTCTAGATCTTTGGAGACATAGTTCGTTGTCATACGTGACATCATTATATCTGTGTTATTGTTAAAAAATAATAGAACATAGAGGGCCATGGTGGCTCACGCCTGTCATCCCAGCACTTTGGGAGGCTGAGGCATGTGGATGATTTGAGGTCAGGAGTTCAAGACCATCCTGGCCAACATGGTGAAAGCCCGTCTCTACTAAAAATGCAAAAATTAGCCAGGTGTGATGGTGCATGCCTGTAATCCCAGCTACTCAGGAGGCTGAAGTAGGAGAATCGCATGAATTCAGGAGGGGGGGCAGAGGTTGCAGTGATCCGAGATCATGCCACTATACTTCAGCCTGTGTGAGGACAGACGAGATCTGTCCCAACAAAAATAAATAAATAAGGCCAGGCGCAGTGGCTCACACCTCTAATCCTAGCACTTTGGGAGGTCAAGGCAGGTGGATCACCTGAGGTTGGCAGTTCCATACTAGCCTGGCAAACAGGGTGAAACCTGTCTCTACTAAAAATACAAAAATTAAAAGTTAGCGGGGCCTGGTGGTGCCAGCC